TAACAAAACAATATTAGCCATCTACCTATAGTATAATATCGTACATGCCGATTGATTTTAAATTATTTATAACTAATTCRCTTTTAAAAACCKCTAATCAAACTAATACTAATAACTAATAACTAATCAAACCGAGAGAAAAAAGCCTTTATTAAATCTGGCGGAAGCAAAAATGTTTTTACTTTCAGTGGAAAACAATGGGCTCGTGTTAGAACCATTGGTGCTGTTGTCATAATGATCCGTCGATTGACTTTTTTTTTTTTAACAATTTTTGGCGTTATACACCAAAATATATATAGAACACATTTGGACATTAACTTGTAACTAGTGCAGTATATAATATTATGTTGCCTATTATTTAAGCAACGGTCAATAATTTACGTGGATGAAAAGTTTTTTTTTATTTTCTTATAAATAAATGTATTTACAATATGTAATATGTATAATAAAACAATAAGTAAATTTGAGATTTTTTTTACAAGGTTTGGAGGCTTTAGTGAATAGTGCGTCCATTGACACTACTTCAAAGGATGAAAAGTTATATACAACTTACAAGTATACATATTAAAATGTATCTGTGTAATACAAAATCACGTCCCAATAGGAACGATAAGGTTTTATTTATGTCGATATATATATTATTAGACATGTTTATTAAATAATTGAATTCTGTATAATTGGGAAATCGTGATTTTATAATCTGTATTTTATCGTGCGTAAATGAGTCATTGTTGTCGATTTTAATATGAAACATTGGAAATGTGCTGCGCAAACTACATGTGCTTTCCGGTACGCTGGCAGAATTCATTATAATATTTATAAGCTATATAGTAAATACAATACAAGGCGATTTTTAATTTTTTTTTTTTTTATTGTTTTTATAATCTACTACATACTTATATGTAAATTCTGAAAGGTGTGATATATGATGTATATGGATTTTAGAGTGACTTAATTTTTAATTTTAATTGTTTAAATTATTTTTGTTGTGTCAGGATACATTTTTCTAAATCAGGAAAAGTACTCTGATCAACAACTTTAAGGTAGTTTCCTTGCAACCAATTATGTACATWGTTAATGCATTTTAAAATGATTGTAAAAAAAAAACATTAGAGAACATTTAAATATTACTATTTAAATAATTGGTGATTTTTACTCTTGTAAATTATGGGATACATCTTTATTTTTATATTCCTGAACAAAATATGTTTCTCAGAAATTCAATATAAAAAAAAAAAAACATTAAATGGTTAAACGTATCTAAAGAATTTAGCTTCTTGATGTGCACCAACATTTTGCCTCTTTTCCATCCGTTTATATTATTATATTTAAATGCTTCTGACTACTCATTTGATATTCAATGTTTTTTTTTTTTTTAAATCTAAATTCTCAGTATTTTATGCTACTTCAGAATATGAGATTAAAGATGGATGTTGTTATAAAAAAAAATTTAAAACTTGTAACGATATAAAATTTGGTGATAAATGATGAAGTTTATAATTTATTGACTTATTATTAATATTGTAGACTGCCAAAATCTAAAAATGTCATAAATGCTTTAACATGACGAKAAAATGTCTAGTTAGTTTTTAATGCAATAGAATTACACTGTATTAGGAGTAGTAATATGATTTAATATGCAAGTATAACTACTTCATCTGTCGTCATGGATTGTATATACCTATATAATATATAATATTATTTATAATTATAATTATAATTATTTTAATACCCTGTGGCGGCGGCGGTGCCAGTGCTTTCGTTTCTCGGCCGCTGTGTGATTTCCGCATACCATCACATTAAATATCATAACATTATTATAATCGAGCGACGGCGTTGCACCATTGCCAAACGTTTTATGACTACTTCCATCCCGACTGACGAACTTTGCGCCCGCCGTTGTATTTTTTTGTGATTAATAAATCACACACTGCTCGTATAAAATAAACGGCTACATATATGGCATATATAAAATATGTATACGATTATACTATAATTACATTGTATGTGTGTTATTGCAGTGTCGCGTTATCGCCAATTGTGTACTTATCATTATTTTCGGGCGTGTACGTGTAAGCATACAGGGTGATTCACGCGCCAATTTCGCTCACCCACATTTTTATCCTATAGCCAAAATTCGTTCTGATTCTGAGTTTTTTTAGTATGCCAGTATATAGGGCCGTAATAACATTTCAAAGTCCATTCGTTCGAATTTCGAATTCACAGATTTCCCGCGAAAAGTCATCAGATTCATAATTTACGTGGAATAAGGCCATTCCTGCATTTGTCATCATAAGTTGTTGGTATCTCCACTGGGGAAAAGCGGGGAAACCCTGAATATAATATTTGAAAATGAGTGTTTTAAAATCCCCAAAAATCAGAATTTCAAAATTAATTCATCAAAAGCAATAACGGAGGTGAACCTGCTCAGTGAATCATTCAGTATATTATAATTATTTTATTAATCATTTATGTGTGGTACTTTAATATCTACCTATAATATTATTGTTCACTCATTGGGCATAATATTATAATATGATATTCAATAATTATCATTGTCGCCGCAATATAATATTATATTTCGTCCGACTTCATTCTTATCGCCGAACGGGACGGACAACCCGCGGTCGCTGTGGTAATATATTATGATAATATTGTTATTCGTAGCGACTATATTAGTTTTGGATCTGTCCTATATAGTCGTAGCAAGATTACCCGTAATCCAATGTACGATCATTAATGTTGTACCCGACTATATTGCCATCGTTATGTTTTTCAAATCCATTCATCCTACGCGCGCATCACGTGCCTCCCCAAAAAAAAAACAAAAAAAAAAACGATTTAACATTGGCAAAGCGCGACAAATAATATTAATGTTGTCCTCGTATTAACGTTTTTATATTATAACATTATATTTGTATGATTATTGTTAAATCGCTTCTTAATGTGATTATTTTTATTTTTCTGTATATCAAAAAAACTTAGTGCTTACTTATACCTAACATGATCTGATATACAAAATGTCAAAAACTTACTTTTGTATCCCTAAGTTTAAATGGTTATTGTAAAAAAAAAAAAACATTATATTATGTCGCGTACGTTATAGACGTTTGGCTTTTATCGGTTTTCTATGTATTGTCGTCATTGCGGCCCGGTGACCGTTTGATGAACGCGCGTGTACACACACACACATATATATATATATATATATACGTGCAAGTGCTCTACTCTCATGGACTCCATAGAAAAAAAACCTTATCTAGCCGGGTGAGTCGACGAAAAGAAAATCTTGTACATAGGTACGGCGCGATATCGTGAAATGTAGGTAGTATTATAATATTATATAATATGCATAAAATCGATAAGGAAAAAACAAATATTAATAATTGGAAAAAAAAACAAATAAAACGAAATATACTCAAAACCTATGTTGAGCCCAGCGATAAGATATACTACTTACATGTACCTATACGTATATAATAATAATAATATATACCATATTTCGCATGTATTAGTGATTTCTCGCCGACCTTGCACAATATTATTGCATTGAATGTTTGAACTATACTATATATATAGTTGGCGCGTATTATGCATAATAATATGTGCTGCAGGTACCTATGTTATTTTACGCATAATATAACACACAACTGGTCTTTGAGTTTCAAAAGAAAACTTTGCCTCAAATGTGTGTGTGTGTGTGCACGAGTTTAATTTTACAAGTGGCTACGGACAAATGGACAGAGAACAACAGTGCACAGTTAAATTATGCGAGTTTGTTACTAACGAATAATAGAAAAATCGTACTTTTTTCATAAGAATGTGTATTTGTGTGCGTGTGTTGTAGGCATATCCACCCACACGATTCATTTTAGTCTTCAGACATTTTCCATTGCCTTTTCAGTGTCACAAAATAATAACATAATAATTTAGTAGGTATGAAACTATATACATAAACTACAATACATATTACAATATCTATACCTACTATGCGGGATAGTAGTCAAAAGATATGTACCTATTGTATAATATTATTATACAAATGTGGAATTTACTTGTAAAAAAATCTTCTCAAATACTTTGTTACATGTGCACACTGTACATAAATTACGAATATATTTTTTTTTTCATTTTTACTACCTAGCTTACTTATTCTTATAAAATTATTTCCCTCAAGAAAAAAAATCAACGTTATTCATTGCATTAATTAAAACTATTTGTTAATTCAGAACAGAAAATAATTCATAAAATAAACAATACCTACAACTGTTTTAAAACAATATAAGTTCAATATCAACAACAATTTTTATCCAAAACTAAACCACATATTATCTAATCATTGTACACAACCAAGTTTCAACTTTGACTGAAAAAAACCTGACAATAATATTGAAAATAATATTTTGGGCACGGACATAATATTATAGCGATATTATTGCGTCAATCGGCAAAAATAATATATTAGTTTATTGAACTTTAGGAATTCAAAATTTTTTTTTTAAATCCGATTAAATTCACTAATCATTATTACAATAAGAGTACCTACTTAATACTTATTTTAAGCGTGTTTCGTATTATTTTATAAATATATGTATGTCAGACCCGTGTGAAATTGGTGGGGTGGGGTGGGGGGTTAAACCCCCGCCGTTTCCGAAAAATATAAATTGCGATTTGGTAAATGTATTAATATTATTAAATACCTAGTAGGTATAATTATTGATGTATTTGTAAATTTATTATAACGATGGTGTATTTCATCGTATATTTAATACAAATATTTTTGAAGCTTTTAATGAAAACAACAAAATTGGTATGATATTTTCTTTACTTAACGATTGCAGTTTATTTTTTTATTTTTTTTGAAACACGCCCCTACCCTATTCAGAAATTCCGTGCACGTGTCAGGTTTAATATAATGATGATTTTCTTATACTGAACTCTTATGCAACAGTTTAATATGATAATAACGAATTTGTTTGTTTTTTTTCCCTTTGATACAGTACTCAAACAGCAACAACAGGATACCGACGGCCTCATCGCCAGCCAACACCAACAGCAGCTCGAGCTCCAACACCAACGGCGGTGCATCGTTGCAATCGTCTAACCAGCCGACTACTAGTTCGCCGTCGTCAGAATGTCAATCAGCCGCGCCGGCACAGCAGTTGTCCAAGACCAATCTTTACATACGCGGATTGAACCAAAACACAATGGACAAGGATTTGATTACCATGTGTTCGCAGTGAGTATAATATTAAATAAAAATAATTACATACAATAATTATTAAAGTTATTGAGTTTATGCGTAGTGTATTATACGAGTGTCACGTTTTGTGTATAAATAATAACATTAATAAACTTTACGTTACACATAAACTACTAAATAGGTATCTATCATCTATGGTATTTAATTGGGTATCTGTAATTAAAGTAAATGTGGTAGCCTTGCGGTTATGGTCTGGTAGAGAATAACCTAATAAGTGACATCTAACAATTTATCTGCTGGTAAAGTTGTAGGTAGGTAGCAATAACTTGATTTACYCAAAAACCTGCACTTGAGATGTTCAGTAACAATGGGTAATATATTTGTTTGAATTTTGTTTTTCGAACGTTTCAAAGATCATTCTCTTCCAATAAGATCAAAAGAATTCTTGTCATTATAAATCGATCACAAGTCCACGTGTAGTCTGGCACTCGAAATTTAAGTGGTATTCAACGCTTTAATTTAATTTTTAGTACCTATAGTTTTACTACTTTGGATGGAAAAATATTCAAAGCGTTCATTATTAAATTACAACACTACATTCCTTAAGCATTTAGCATAAGTATCATACGATATATCTATCGTTGAGGTATATAAATTTATCGATGATAAAACTTGAACAAGAGGATTTTAAATGACAATGAAAAATTTAAGACGTATCTAATCGTGATACCGGACCTTTATATTATATTAGATATTATTAAAACTTTGACATTTAGTAGAGAAAACTCGTCGATTCAAAAATAGTAAAATCTGTGTAAATTATTTTTGTTAGATTGTTCTTTTTTTTTTAAATATTATGTTCAGGATTTTTTGCTTGAAGTTACACAATAGCGTGCATCAATACAAGTTACTTATACTCTAAAGCAGTGAATCGGTATTATGTTTTGTATGCATGTACTGGGTACATATTGTTTTTGTTATCAAAGTTCATGTGTATTGTGTATAATGTAAGTTATAAGAACGATTTTACAATGTTGTAAACATTTCCTGACTTACATCTTTTCGCTCGAGTCGATATTTTATCGTGTATAGTGTGTGAGTATTTAAATATTTTTTATTTTACGCAATTTCATAATATATATGTATATATATATATTATATATTTCTTCAACCTACAGTGTATTGAATTTCATTGAAATCCGCTTAAATTATATTGTTCTTTAGGTTTTGGCTCAACAAAAATCAAGTCGAAAATAAATAAAATAAATAATTATTATACATAATAAATAGTGCATATCTCTACTTATAAAGTAATATTTATTTAATTTAAAATAGTATTTTATTACATAATATTATAGATGTTAGGCTCGTTATCCGATAACTAGCAAACAAAATTAACGATTTTGTAATAAGTTTTACAACAACAAAATATTATAAAACTTATGCATTGAAATTTAATTACCTAATTCAATTTTCTAATTTAAAAATTAAAATATTTTATATAAATATCATGTAATGTATTTTATATAAAACGACGATTAATTTCAACATTTTAACATGTAATTTTTAATTATTAGGCTATGTGTTAAAAAATTGCTACCACGTATTGATATGTTCATATAGGTATCATTAAATAATATTAAGTATATATTTTCTTGCAAAAAGTACTTTTTATATGAAAGAAAAATCTTATTCAAGAATTCAATGAACCTTACAGTCAATATATTGCGTTTGCATATATATATTAAATAAAATACTTTTAACCACAAAAGTAATCACGTATAACAAAGCCTTTAAAAGAAATGGATAAAAACTTTTTTATTTTAATCGGTTGGTACTTTGATTTTCGTTTTCGTTATAAAAACGACTGACTTGGTTCATTTCAAAATGTTTTTTTTATTTTTTTTTTATGATATTCCGTGGTTAGAGGTTACCGTAAATTTATTTTTGAATATAAATATATACTTTTACATAATATAGGTATATGTTTTACGTACCTAATATATTCAACCTGATTTCCGCGTATATGCATAGCAGCGATAGTTTTAAGTTATACTTATAAAGGGTATATTTGTAAGCTTTGGTTTATTCAAACTTTTTGTCGTCTTATAAGGATTACTTTTGTGGATGTAATCCTTGCTAGGTTTTTAAACTTTATATTGGAATTCTCTTACTCCACCTACTCACCCGCGTATACACTTTTTAAACCAATATTGTATCAACATTTTCTATTCATTATTATGCATATTATTATTATTTTCATCATTCAAAGCCATACATACAATATAATCAATTGCACACACATCCATGATTTAGCGTAGTCAGTCTCGGGTGATAGAACGGTCTGTTTTATCCGCCCACCGAATTCACGTCTGCCTGCTTGCAGAGCATCTTGATTTATACTCTGCTGCTGTGCACACAACAAGATATGACATTCCAACAGATTACATCATTATACTGTATAACTTTGATGTGCTTAAACTATTACATTGATTCAGAAGAATTTTATCTAAAATATTTTTATTTTTTATTTTTATAGATATGGCAACATAGTTTCAACTAAAGCGATACTGGACAAGAACACCAACAAGTGTACGAGCGACGTATTGTATAATATAATTTTTTGGGAGTTAACTCGAAGGGGAGGGACTATTAAGATAAGTGGGATAAAAACAGAGACAAATGTGTATGATTTTGAAGAAAGTAATCGATAAATGTACGGGGAAACGCATGTTTTGGATGTATATAGAAAGATATGATGTGTGATTCCGAATATGTACTTTGGACTGGTGATAATTATATTTTAGGGTGAAACAGAATTATCTGTGAATGGATGCAGTGAACAGGAGCGTCTAGTATTTTGTACGTCAAGATTAAATGATATATTAGAAAAAAAAACTATTGCACAAGGAACTGAGGACCAGTCCAGGATCGGACTGTTGGGGAATGGAAATTAAACAGAATAGAAAACGAGTGTAGGAGATACGAAAGTAATACTAAAAGTGATGTGTGCAGTGACTTGGGATGATAGAGTAAGAAATTAATTAAATTGATGTAGTGTATATTCGTAGGAGTGACGCCAATTGTAGAATAAACGACGGAAAATTGCTGATATGGCTCGACCATGTTTGAGGAGAGGTGTCTTTGAGTTGGTGAGAGAGGCCATAGAAATTGTATGTAAAACGAAAAATAGGGAGAGGAAGACCGGAGAAGAGGTGCATAGATAGATAGACAGAGAATAGAGAATGACGCGAGAATAGCTGGCGTGAGTATAAAGAGTGGCGTGGAGGACAGAGCACAATGGAAGTGTAGGTCGATCGTGGCCGATCCCATGTATAGTTAGGAACGAAGGGTGAAGAGAAAGAAGAAAAAGATTTACGTCGTTACCTATATTATTATTGAAATTATTAGTTTTTTTTTTCCACAGCAGACGTCGTCCCTTCGTTAATATAAGTCCCTAGTATCTTGACCCTTTGACTCTAACACTATTCTTTTGTGTTCTTGTGCGTGTGATATAGGTTACGGATTTGTCGACTTCGAGTCGGGCTCGTGCGCTGACGCCGCGGTCAAAGGTCTGCAAGCAAAAGGTGTCCAAGCCCAAATGGCTAAAGTGGGTATTCCAGTTCAACGTAGAGCGGCCACTGTACGTTTGTTGCATGGATATTATTTATTCTATATATTATATTATACACTTAATATTTAAAAAAAAACCTCTGTCGCTGTCAAACAGTATATACACGCTGAGTATAATAAATACGTTTTACGTTTTTCTCTCATAACGATAATATTTGTAAACATAATATTGTCGTGATGCGTCCATATCGTCACACATATTTAACATGTGAATGTTTACGCTGTATATTATGTTTATCGGTATTATTGTTATTTTTATAACAGTGTGAGCCTAAATATATCTGCAGTGTCCATGCTTGTGTCTGTGCGKGTGTTGTACTATATTATTATTATTGTTATATTTAAAATGTTTGTACCATTTTTTTTCCAGGGTGGACATATCCATATAATATAAAATACATTACCCGTACTATACGTCTATACGTACGCTCATTACTCATTAGTAATACGATACTTTAATAATAACGATAAAATCATATACTTACCTATCTACAACTAAACACTGTTGGTGGTTGGTTTTATGAAAAATAATATCATATATCTCATTCTTATCGCGTCTTTAATCTTTATATATACGTGTACCTATATATGTTTGTACTTTTATTTGTGTTTCCAACAATAATGTGCCCCWAAGTGGTTTTCAGTGTATTTAGCGCCTATACGGTATAATAACATCGTACGGTGACCGCATACAGATAAGCCCTAAATATCGCGTCCCTTCTCCCTCTATATARGTGAGGGTTATAAACTTATAACCGTTCTATTGTCAATTTTATTCGATAATTTTAATGTTATTTAATGTTTCGTCTTATCGTTGGATATCCTCGACGTGTATCTGTCGGTCGGACGCCATTGCTGCCGAACGCGTGCCAACGTGTAATCGTTGTCGCCGATCGACCAATATTATTTTTTAAGTCATTTCGAACTTATCAATAGACGTCTGTTGTAGTTGTCTACGTATTTGGATGCCTTATGTAGTTATGTCGTATTCGTCATTTAAGTGGATGACTCACTCGCCTGTATATTATGCTCGTCTCGCCCATTTATTTATATCGTATATAATCGTAATCATTATTCTAGATAAATRTATACATAAAAAATCGATTAATGCAATTATTGTACAGGACTGGCACACATTAGGACATTGTGAGGAAAAAAAACGACGTACAATATTATATTAAATATATTTTTATCAACACATTTTTATGAAAAGACAAAACCATTCTTTAATATTATATTCGATCCACCGACAACCTGTAATTTATTATGGTCATATATGCGCATTTTTAGTTGTAAAAACATAATAATATTCGATATACTTCTAAATATTTTAAAATACCGATTATTTTTCAGTCTTTAGGTTTGAGTTGTGAGTGTCTTCGAGGTTTTCTTGGTTTTAAATGTAAAAAAAAAAAAAACATTTGTTATATTATAATAATGGATACACATTAAAAACCCATTATTGCTGAACGTTTATTTTAAATTATTCAACTACCTATCATATAGAGTTTAAGAAATAAAGAAAATTACAAGAACTATTTTGTTGACAAATTATTAATTTTAATTTGCTTCACTTTAAATCTAAAAAAATAAACTAGTTTACGCCCTTAAAAAAAAAAAAAATGTAAAACATAATTTTACATGATGTACGATAGTAGGTATAACATAATCTAAATCGAGCAATTGTATAACAAAATTGAACTAAACTTTTTCTCTTAAAAATTATACAATTGTTTTTCTGACTCAAGTTATATTTCAACTTAAACGATATTGTCTCGTACAACTTGTAATTTTCCTAATAACAAGTCAACAGTTGTCGTGAAATTCAAATTATTATGTTTGACGATGGTTTTTTTTTTATACTTATTTTATCATAATTACTGTCGTTCTGAAGGTTACTCGATATGGGTCTAAACGAATTTAACCAGATGGTAGTAATTTATGTTGAAACTGAAACGTTTTTTTTTTTTAACTTTGTTACCTGTCACATTTATTAAACTGCTTTAATACACGAGTTGGAAATTATTTAATTAGGTTTGTCTGTTTCTATAATCTAATTTACTTAAAAACGTATTGACGTAGTCCAAATGTAATTTTAAGTAGATAAAATGTATTTTAGGGTATTCTCATGGGGGAGGATATGGGAGATATACATACCATCAGTGACCTTATTTATAATCCCAATTTGCTGATGATTTTGATAATGAAGTGTTTTTTTTTTTCAATGCTCTACTACACTGTAGGTAAGTGGCAAATATTAATCAATATTTATTTGTTGATAATTGATGAATAATTTTCGATTCGTTGTCCTTTTACTGGCTATCGACCATTTGAAAACCATGTTACATTAATTTACTTCGGCTTTGGCATTTAAACCGTCATTAATTCTGGACTAAAAAAAAAAGAAAAGAATAATCGTAAATTCTCTAAAACAGCCTCGTCAAAATTCGATTCATTATTATGTAGTTTTACGTTGTTTTTCATTATTTACCTATTTAAAAAGAAAATCGACAATCGACGACATTTTTACAATAATAAATGGCAATTCATTTTTATTTTTAAATATGTGGCTAGGGTAAAAATAATATATTTTATTGAGATTAAACGTATATTCTGTTGTTATTTTAGTGGTGGCAGTAGTTTGACCCCACATAAAACTTTTCAATCAATTTTTCCATCCACCTCCACTAAACAAATCCTCAGAACGTCGCACTGTCGTAATCTATCTATAGACCTTCAAATAAACAGTGAAACTCTAACGTAGCTTTTTTAGGCATGTTTTCGGATTATCTTCAAGACTTCAAATAATGATTATATATTTGATAGATGTTATTGTAGTCTGYGCGGGGATTTATATTGTTTGATAAATCGATTTATTGTACTTACGGAATTCGCTTGAAATTTGAGTTTGGATCTCGTGACGATCTTCGATTCGATATAAAAATACACAACTATTGCGTTGAACACATCTGTGCTAAATAAAAATAACACACACAAGTCCAAATGGTCAATAGTTTAATTTGTTGTAATGGACTGGACGAATTAAGTGAATACTTGCAGTACATAAGACATAAGAGTAGTCGATTTTTATTCGAAACGGGTAGGTATTGGTACCTAAAAGTGTATATTATATTATGTTTGAGACTTTTAATCTCGGTAATCTCCTAAGACGAYCGTCGTGGGTCATGTACACGTTATTCACAATATTTTCAGAAATCAAACTCTAAGCCACAGCCTTTGTTAGGATCACAAAACGCCGTGTGGTGGTAACGCGTGGGACAATGAGAATAAAGAAAACAGCGAATTCGGCTTAAAAATCAATAGTTTCAAAACCTCTCGAGTAATTTTGAAACGCTAAATCTACTTATAGACGTCGTCGTCGTCGTTAATACTACGCCCGCGATGTATGTGCAGACATTTAAACCGCGGCTTACAATCTCTCTGTTTCTCTCGCTCTCTCTGGCCGCTTCCCCGCCTACGCTTCTGTTTTATTGTCAATAGCTTCCGTTTTCTGTCTACGCGCCTCTTAATGATAATATTGTCTTTGCAATTGTGTTTGACTAATGGCCATGGGATTATTAAAATATTGGCATATACCACATAATGTTAAATTACACGATGTTCCAAACGTCTGAACGAAACTACTGTGGTACGCTCGTTAAGACGATGCACAATAAAAATAATAATATGTTTGCTCCTCATCGTTCGTCGATTTATTTTCCCATAAGACTCTGCAGTAATGACGTGATTCGTGTCGACGGATACGACCTGCAATCCTTATTAAACTATTATATTTTCTTCCATCTGCGTTTGAGCGTTTTTTTTTTTTTTTTGTACGTTTTTTTGCGTTTTTATCGTTTAGCAACAATAATCACCTACAATATACACTACAGTGTAACGCTTTCAATACTTTTATACTATTATATATGCTATGTGTTAAATGTATATTTTAGTTTTTTTCTCATGTGCGTAAATCTTAATAATATGTTATGACGCGTTTGACGTTTCTCCACTAATACATAATAATACATAGGTAATGTATCCAGGATTTATTTTTTATCGTGTTAGAGGATACAAATATTTAATCACATACATGCACAGACAAGCCTATGCGTGTGATCACTGCTATTGATTCAGGACATTACACAATAACGATAATGAATATTAAATTTCTTTTTTACTGTTTGGTTGTTTTTACGTTACTCAAGGAAAAATAATTTTTTAAATAATATTGTATGRTTTAATTTTATTAGCAGCAAGAACAAGACCCGACCAACTTGTACATAGCCAACTTGCCACCGAATTTCAAAGAGAACGATTTGGATACGCTATTGTCGAAGTTTGGTCAGGTAGTATCGACTAGGATTTTACGTGATACAAATATGGTCAGCAAAGGGGTCGGATTTGCTAGGTAAATCATATTATAATGCCTATTATTTGTGTACAAATGTGAACTTTCTCTCGAAAAGACATTTTTTCATATATTTATTTTCAGAATGGACTCTAAAGAAAAGTGTGAACAAATCATTCAAATGTTCAATGGCAATCCGTTGCCGGGGTCTAAAGAACCTTTGCTTGTCAAATTCGCCGACAGTGGTCAAAAGAAGAGRAACCCAAGCTATAGATCAGACTCTCGTTTGTGGAGAGAATCAGAGGTACGTTTTGAACTTTGTATATATTATACTTATTTACCCACCTAGATAGATTTTAACTCGAAATCCCATACGCGATCGCTTCAATTTTAAACATTTAATTTCATCATAGGTATATACATTAAATGCATTAGAGTTTACAATTTATTATCCTCGAGGTTCAATGTGTCTATTCTATATTCACTTAATATTATTCGATATTTACTTTAATTTTTCAGTATCGCTATAAGTTGACCACATTATTATTGATGATTAATATATATATATATATATTGGACATTGCCGCTCATAATCTACAATTACATAAACATTAAATGATTGATTATAGTTTTATAACTATTAAYAGTTTTTGCAGAAGATAATTTAAAAATTGATCAATAGCAATACTGTTATACACATTATAACTTATTGTGTTTATGGTGTAATAATATACAATTTTACTTCAAAAATAAACATTCATATATAAAAAATGTTTAACTAAAAAATAATACTAAATATGATTTTGTTTAAGATCTATAGAAATTGCATCAAAGTTTTAACCATTTAATACTATTTAACGAACTTATAATAGTTATAAAGTAAAACAATTCATATCATGATGCAATATCTGTAGTAAAATTAAAAGTTATTTGTGTATATTACATAATTAGGACACAATTCATATAATTTTACATATTTTTAGTGTTTATTATACAAAAATAGCTAGCTTACATTAAAATGCGTTTCATGAACTATAGTCATTCAGTATAATATACAATTTTCAAACTTTATGGTATTCGCATTTTTATGGTATATATTAGATTTTTTTTCGCATTTTTAAAGGCGTGTTTTAGATTATATATTTATGATTTTAATATGCTCCTTTTTATATCGAGTTAAAAATATCGTCAAATACAAATAATTGTTCAAGATTTTATAAATGTTGTAAGCAAGTAAGTTGACAACTTGTGTAATCAGTATAATTTCAAACAAAGACATAATATTTTTAAAAACACCGATAGTCAAATTTTTTATTTAATAACAAGTTTTAGGAATTCACATGATTACTAATGGCTTTAAGAAAAACAATAATAGAGAAAATATGCGTTTAAATGAGATATCTAAAACTGTGCTCGTAAATGTGTAATTTTTTTTTTACTATTATTTAATTAAATATATGAAACTGATTGAGTTTATATTTATTTCATCATATTGTATCTAGCTGAATCTTCACAGATGTGTGTTGATTGTATAGTAATTATTTTTATAATTTTATTATTATAGTTTGTTTACCAGTGTGTTGGTTTGTGTCGAACAATATTGTTCTAAATGAAAATTAGCGATCATACATTAACCAACAGGTTTAACGTTCATTTTTCCTTAAAATACTTCTCCCTTGAAGTACGCATGACATGACGTCCCTTTAAGGACGAAGCTTTGGCCCACTACCGACTTATATTATTATTATTATTTTATTATAATATTACATTTAATGATCTTTATCTGTCCAACGTGTAAATCGTTTAATATGTATACGAGTATAATATTATTATATATTTAACATCGAGGCCTGGATGCTGAAAACTTTTTTTCTTAAAGTACTAATATTTTCTATTTAAAAATATCTTTCAATCTCACATAGACTGAAGTCATTGTCAGACTTCAATCAAATAAATATTAATCATATATAGATGTTAACATTACAGTTTAGTATTTTCATTGTTTATCTATATATGATGTTGTTGCGATTTTCATTCATTGCGACTAGAGGCAATTTTTTAAAACATTTTTAATGACATTTGCAAGACCCTAAAAAGTGCATTGACTTTCGAGCCCAAACTTATATGACCATTATTAAATTATTATTATTGTGTTTTTACTATGTATTTAATAAATTCTTACAATTTTTTTTGTTRTATGACAGAACGGCGGATGTGTGCGTTTTCCTGTACAGCACTACATGTTACAGGGCTCACACGTTGGGTACGAAGCGCCCCACAACGGTCTGGCTGGGTCAGCCGGTTCGCACGTCATACCGGCCACCGCACTTGCGCAGTACGTTGGCCGGCATTACACCACGCAGGCATTGCCTGCCCACGGATACTCGATTCCGGCGTCCACGTGGCTGCCGCAATACGTGATGCAGCCTGCGCCGCCACATCATTTGGCCCCGATAGACGTATGTGCCATATTATATACAATGTATATTATACATAACATAACCTAACCTACACTTTTTGCCTATAATAACCACGTATTACTGTCCTGTTTCCTCTACCCCTATAATATTATTATTCGTACGCTACACTGAGTACTCTGGGCTCAAGACATTTTGAAGCGGCCTAAAGATCAAACTTTTCAACGAGAAATCTCAAAAAGATAAAAACAATTTATTTTTTATCATTTCTATTATTAAGGATAGTTAAATCAATCATGACCTAAAAACTACATTGAATACTTCTTCCTTGATTTAAATTTTATCAGTTTGATTTGGTCGTTAATTGGTATCATAATTTTCTGATTAAAAAACATAAATAGGTACACAATTACGTTCCTTGCGACGGTCTATATTTATTTTTATTCCACCTAGCTGTTAATATTTTAAGAGTAAAGAACAATTTGCAAAATGCGTATCATGCATTATTTTTATTAAATATTCTTTCACAGATCCAGTTTACCAAAATTGTGTGTATTTAAATTTTAAATAGGTACCCATTAATGAGTTGTACATATAAATTCAATCACTTTTGTAACTGCACTATTACAATGCAGATACAACTAGCTCATCAAGACGTGAAAATTACATTTTAGATGCTTTTCTCAATGTTTTATTCAGTTTAGGGCTTTAGTCGTGGTGTCGCCTGTTGGAAGCATAAGGATTTTGTAAAATAATGTTCAGAAACAATTTTTTAGGCTTCAATCATGATATATATATATATATAATATCACTATATCAGTCATCGTATTTTCAAGTGATATTCTTAATTCTTATGTAAACAATTTTTATGCCATACTTGTGACAAAAAAATGACCCTCTCGGAGCCTTGTGATTAGGTACCAGTAATCTAGGGTTGAGTGCACGTCACTATTCAAGTCTAATGCTGACTAAGAATCACCTACTCCAGTTAGTTTAAAGATCAAGTAGTTTTTTTTATTACCAATAGAATCCCTCGAACTAATCGATTGGAATCATCTTTTTTAAATTCCACAATATACAACATTTAATCGATAATGATAACAATGCGAATTTTAATTTTTGTTCGATTTTCGAAATATTCTAGACGTACTCAACAAATCATGAAAATAAACGCGATTGATGTTGACTATTTTATTCTGCTATACTTTATACGTCTCAGCTATCTACTGGCTAAACGATTTCCATTTTATTAGGTATCTACACACAATATCGTTATTATAATGTTTAAGAAACTTTCATTATTATAATTTTTTTATTTTGTTTTGTATTAAATACATAGCAATAAATCAAACAATTTCATTAAAGTTAATATAGCGCTACACATACATCATTTTGAGTCTGTCATATTTTATTTTTTCACTTTGAAATCATCGTGTTCAACATAATATATAATAATAGTCTTTACCTAGCTCCACCACGACAGTTAACCTGGCATGTCGCTACGATTCCGGTTATTGGTGCCGAATCTCTGATATATATTTTAAAATATAAACTCATTAGAAGTTTATTTGTATGTTTATCTAACTTTTGTATTTATATTACTATCATACTGTTTACACTAAGACGAGGTAATTAATTTGAAATATAAATGTTTTGTTTAAGACTCCTGTATGTTGTCAGATGATTCAGCAAGCTGATCCTGGATCCGTTCAATACGGTTCAGTTATGCCGCAACTCGCCACACATATGTCTGCTTTACAGATCGGAAATGGATCAGTAAGTCTACTATGCTTTAATGGCATTTCATTACTCTTGTAGATTCTAAACGATTACAAACGATCATGTAACATATTTTTTTTTATTCTTTCTATAAAAAGCGATTATTTTTGTCGAACCCGTTTTTGTGTACGTAACTAATTTACTTAACAGCTATCTAATCTGTACGTATAAGAAAGCAATAGTATAGAGTCAGCTAGCAATAATTTAATAAGTAATGTATACATTATTGATTTAGTGTTTTGCCAGCGATTTACGATGATCGTTATTTAATCGCAATGAGAATCTCTTGATAATGTAATAAAATATCGTTTTTGTACATGTTTATTATAAAAACTGCTCATTTTCGCCTCTTTTTTTTTTAATCAAGTATCCATGTTTTAGTACGTGGCCGGCCCACACCCAGGTTATCCGTACTACACAAGCGCTGCACCAAACATAATTCACACGGTTCCAATTCCACCAGAAGAACATCCATCTACAGCGGCTTCACCCGATGACTCCTATCAACATTACTCGCACAAATAAACAAACAAACAAAAAATGCAAAACTAACCAAGTCGATAAAAATTATTTGGTAACACCCGTCTTATTTCCCAAGCTGTATTTTCGTTATTATTTTTTTTTTTTTTAATTAGTTATCTTGGCCATTTCAAAATTTAGTTAAATTTGTTTAGTTCTAAAAATTACAAAATGTAGGTGAATAATTAAACAGAAAATGTATAAAAGAATATTTGATACTATTAGTCAACCTGTTGAACTCCGTTGTGAAAAAAATTTTCAAAAAATTTTTATCAGCGCAGAGTAACAGGTTAACGATATGTTTTAGACAAACAAAAATGTTAGTTCAATACAAATTTAGCTCAATTGTGGTTTTGCGTAGAGTAATTATTTCTAAATCATTATTGTAATAGGCACTTGTTTCATTTGTCATTCCCTCCAAACAAGTCTTATCGAGTCTTGTTTTGTAAATTCCAAATTGATTGTTTCGCTCGATGCTATTTGTTTTTTCCGGACCCTTGACAACATGTCGTTTATTTTGACATGAAAATGGTTTTAAACAACGCGTTTTATCGTTTCGCGATTCATTTCATCGTGTTCAGTTATTTTTACTGAAAAAACATTAAATTCATTTTAATCGCTTCATTGTTTAGGCGTAAAATCGTAAAAACGGTTTTATATCTAAATTGTGCAGTTTTTTATTAAATGATTTTTAGAGTTATTACAGTAACATTTACTGAACGTTATATTTTTATAATGAAACGAGAATACGTATCATTATTGTAATAAAAAAGATTATCGAAAAGAGTTAATAGTAGATTCATACGGTCCAAAAAATATGTACTTATTAATAAACGTATTAAATTTGACATTCGGCATATTGCTGAATAAATTTACAGCAATGAGTTTAAAAAAAAAAAAAAATAATAATAATAATAATTATATTAAACAACATTCAATATGTCTATAACTTTTGGTCCTCAAAATAATTGTTTTTTAAATTTTAAATTATTTCTTTTTTAACATGTTCATTGAAATTATTATTTATTATTTTGTTGTGTTGAAATTCATTTTTTGATTTTTAAAAATATTGTGTATAAAGTTAAAAGTGTTTTGAGTTATAATTTTGTTTGTCGTTGGAGATATCGTTTATTTCTTGAAATTTGAAAGTTATGTTTATTTTAAGGGATGTCCCTTTAAGTGTATAACTGTTACACCTGTTGCAACTAAACATAAAAATAAAATAATAATAATAAAAAAAATAAAAATAAAGCCTCCAAGTGTATGTAATTTTAATATGGTAGGTAATAATAAATTCGAAATACCCGATTCGCGTTGCAGTGATCGCATCCGGTAAGTCATTGCCGAGTTCGAGTAAAATTGACAGACGAAATTATTACGTTAGTAATAAACATAAAAATAATAATAAATTAATAATGTATTTAGGGTTAAGTTAATTCATTAAGTTATTGATAAATTTAACAATAATATTTTTGTTTAATAAGTATATAGCTATGTAGCCTAATATAAGTTTAAATGTAATTTATTGTCGCCTAGTCGACCACTCCCCGCCCCTTCCCCCGTAGTATAACCATCCATTTTGTATCCGAGCGACTGAATTTTTTTTTGGTAAATTTGTCTCCTTGAAATTCTGTGATACATGTGTTAGTACATGTCAGCGGTTAATAGTCACTAAAATGTTGTGTACCGTTTGAAAAAAATGAATACATTTCAACTTTTTATTTTAAATTTAATGAAGAAATTTAAAGAATGTTTATTTTTTTACCTTTACTTAGGTACATATTTTTGAAAGATAAAAGAAAAGAGTTATTTTTGTTTTTATTATTATCATATTTTATTTATTTATTTATTTATTTGTTTTTTTTTTGTTTTTTTTTAATTTCTTCTATAATTGACGATTGATTTCGATCCATTTTTTCGGCCTATGGTTATAAATTTATAATATAATAGATATTAAAAAAAGTGTATAAATTTTATAATGTGATATTTCGTTATTCATCTAAATTTTTATGATTTTGACAACATTAGATAGTATAGTTGTAATAATAATGTGTTTGCGAATATTTTGTTTGTGTGCTTGTGTGGACTGGACTGAAAGATAAAAATATGTCATTCGTCATATTTAGAATATTTCACTCGATCGTAAATCGTGATTTCCGTCACCGATTTACAATAATAATTGATAACAAAAATGGTTATATTAATTTGAGATGTTCTCAAACGCTGTTGCCTTCTTCGACTCAATCGGGACTTTTATACGAATATCGACTTCCAACACCATACTTTGGACCACGATTTTGAATTTTATTTCATTTTATCCAGAATCGGGAACATTTATCATCGGTATCTCGTTGTTTGGTTAAAGAGAATTGGTACCGACCCTCCCCCCCTCACAGACTAGAGACCTTTTTGTCCATTGTAATCTTTTTTTAAATTTTTTTCCGCGTACGACTGACCCCAGTTACATCGAAGTCTTCTACCACAAAGTTCACCACCACAATTCGCATAAACATACTAATAACTCACAATAATATTTTCGTTTTTATTTCTCCACGATTTTCTCATCCCTCCCCACGACGCATTAGTCAGGTCGATACTTTTGTTTAATTTATAATATTTTGTATAATATAATTTATAATACATATTATGTGGTTTATATAATTTAAGAATAATTTTTAAAGGAAAAAAATCAATAATTGACCTACGATTTTTATTATTGTTTAATTAACAATAATATCCCATTAATAACGCTCCATTAATCCAAAAGATATTATTATATAGTAAAACTGCAGAAATCGTGCCTCGGTGCTTGTTTTATGACTGTACTAAAAAAATACGTTTGTTTTAAATAGCTTTTTTTATTTTCTTATTTTTCTCTCTTTTTCTCGTCGTGAGTTATACAGATTTTAGTTTTATTATTTAGTTTTTTTTTTTTTGTATTATTATTTTCGATAAATTTATAAAATATATATGATCTATTAAATATGTGTAAATACGGTTTTGAAAGAAAATTTTAAACAAATTTTCTCGATTCCATTGTAATTGTAACGCCCTTTTTAAAAATCGTAGTAATGCTATCTTAATTTGACTGTATTTCACTCAAAGTATAGTTTATTATTATTATTATTTGGTATTGTTTACTTACGTTTTTTAGTAAATTGTCTTTCTTAGTACGAAAAGCGATTTTCTTAGAGAATTTCTGGGTTAACTATGAAATGAAATTGTACATACATACGACTGTTCAAATTTTACAGGGGTATTTTTGTATTCTGTCCCATAAAAAAAAAATATAATAAAAATGTAATAATAAGACTTGGTTTCGCCTAAGCGCCTTTGTCTGAATAAAACGTATGAAGTTTTAAATGTGATATTTAGCACATCGGTGTCTTCCCAGGACGCTATTTGCGCATGATTATTTGTGTTAAAGACAAAATGAAAATATCGTTAAAAAAGTAAATATTTTTCCGCGAGTTCCGGAGATTGATTTATTACGTGCCTACTAGTTTTCCGTTCACACGATTTAACATAGAGGTACGACCTCAGTAGATCGGGATGAAATAAAATTGAAAATAAAATCGAATAGGTAATAATATAAATAATAAATAATGCATCAAAAAATTTTGGTATGCAAACATTTCCGATTCAAGTACGACATAAACTATGTACGTATATTATAATAATATATTATAGTATGAAATCTGTTGCGGTTTTCGGCKTTTCCAAACAGTGGCCTTACATCAAATTAATATTCTGCGTGTATAGATCATGTTCTGTTTATAAATTAAAATATTTTTTCTTAAATGTAATTTGGCCGATGACATGTTATAATTACTATTTATCATAATATCTGGACCTAGACGTAATGTCGATAACAACTCTTCGACGTGTAATATAATAATTATAATGTACGTATGTGTATATGTGCGTTTAATATTTCAAAAGAATAATAATAAWATATTATCTAATATAGCACGTATTACCTACGTTTAATAATATGATTTAAAATTCGAACGTTATAGTATGTAACGACTTATTTGTAGTATGTAAGTTTTAAGTGTTATTATTATGATAATGATAACGATATTATGTTTACATTAATTAAAAGTCTAATATTAAATTCATTTKATTTCTGCAGCGTACTGCGCGTACGCTACACATGATTAGCCTAAATATTATAATAATATTAAGAGAAAAATAAAAATTAATAAAAAGGACGACTGTTCGAATGTCGTTTTTTCGAAGCTGTTTTAAACATAATATAGCTTGTCATTATTTTTGTTTCCGAAAAACAAAACAATTTAGCTTTAGTATGTTAAGAATTTTTTTTTTTTTGCTTTTAAACGTACGTCTTAATTTAAATTTAAGTTAGTGATAACGATAAAATTTCAATAAGCAAAAAATCTGTATTGAAAAAAAATTATATTAAGAAAGGAGAAATAATAAGTAATATAGTATATAATAATATAATATATATATATATATATATTAAGTATGTGCGAACAAGATGTTTGTACGTTGTGATTGAGACTGCTGGTCCCCCCTCCCTAAAATCGGCGGGTAAAAAGTTGCGTTAAAAGATAATAATTATAATTATAATTAAAACATAAAAAAWTAATGTGAAAAAAAAAGAGTTGCCCATAACATCTGGTACTCACGGCTTAACTCATTTATATCACCCGGTGTCTTGTATTATTAATTGTGACTGATCATTGTTATGTAGAAGGCCTTAGTTATTAAGTCTTGCCGTAAAATTTATGTGTATAGTTTAATGATTTATCCCTGTATGATTTTTTCTCCTTTCTGATTTCGCTGAGTTCGAGTTCAAAAATTGATTATTATAAATTATTATTGATATTATTTAATATTATACGTATTTTATAATTT